TAAGTTTGTCTCTGCATGAACTGTGTTGTATGCATGATGTGTACGATGAAAATGAGATATCAACATTGGTCAAGTCAACCCCTGCCTTCTTATCCTCAAGTGACAAGTGTCCCCATGCATTAAATGCTGAAGGTAGTATAAAAAGGCAGTATGCATCTCCCATGCACACAACTGGCTTTTGCAAGATTACTCAGTGCACTCTCAAAGCAATCGGCTATTCCCTTCTACTCCCTTGCTCTCCTGTGTGCGAAGAAATTCTTAGTGTTCTTCATTTCCTTTCAAGAACTCTCTGTGTTGTTCTTGAAAGTTCTTCTCCTTGTAAGATTGTTTAGGTTATGTTTTCCTTTCCTATCTTTCGCAACAATCTTTTGTATTTTTGTGTGTATTAATTCTTGATATAAATCAATAAGAATTAAAAAGTAGAAAAAAGTCTGTGTAATTGTATTCAACCCCCATTCTACAATTACTTTCTGTTTATTGTCTTTCCCTTCGGGACTAACAATAACTCTGAAGAATGACTCTTCAGACTTGAATTTAGAAATGAAATTATATCAATAATTAGTTAAAATGAAATTAACCCTAGAATAAAATTAATTTTAGAAATGAAACTATATCAGTAAGTTGAATTTAAACTTCGCAGTAAATTTAGAACGACTTTTCAGATTTGTACTCTTGAAATAACTCTTAAGTATAACTCTGAAGAATGACTTTAGACTTGGACTTGTACTCTTGAAATAACTCTGAATTAAACTTTTTAGACTTCAGAGCTCTATATAATCAAGAAAAGTCAATTTTTGTCGACGTCCGCCACAAATCTCCCACAAATCCGTCACTGAATTTTAAAATAAAATAAAATTTTATTTCTACAACTTTCCCGACGGATTGTAACGGATTATTTTTTACTTATTTGATACTGTCACAAATCCGTCGGAAATCCATCACAAAATTGGTCTAATTTATTTAAATAAATTAATTAACATTAATTAATTAAAATTTACAATGGATTTTAATTGATTCTTATATTTAATTATACTCCGTCGGAAATGTTTAAGAAATATTTTTTTTATTCTTTTCCCTTTCAAAAAAATATGTTTAAAAAAATCTGACGGATTGTAATATTATAATAAAAAGTTAGATTTATAAGAAAAAGTAAAAGAAAAACCTTTTTTTAATAAATTCCGACGGAATATAATTTTTTATTATAAAAATTATTATTCGTCGGAAATTTTGATTTTCTTTTATATATTTTTTTTTGAAAGGGAAAAAAATATGAATAAAACTTCTTTCAACATTACCGACAGATTTCAGACAGACTTTGCATTTAGTGATGGGGGTTTTTCTGACGGCAATATCCATCGGATAATTGTTTTTCCTATGGATTTCCGACGGATATTGCCGTTGGAAAAACCACATTTTTTAGTAATGATCAATCAAATTGGTATAATTGAACTGTTAATGTAAATTGTGTCTAGATACGTTCAAATGAGTCTAATTGAACTGTTAATGTAAATTGTGTTTAGATACGTTCAAATGAGTCTAATTGAACCACTAATATAAATTGTATCTAGATACGTTCAAATGAGTCTAATTGAACCACTAATGTAAATTGTGTCTAGATACGTGTTTAGGCGGAAAAACAAGAAAATCGCCTCACCAGAAGATGACATGTGTCATCCAAGTTACTTATTTATTATAAGTATATATATATATATATATATATATATATATATATATGGGCTCATTCAAGGAAGAACTGACTAGTTTGTGGTAACCGTGAGATCCAATCTCAACCACAAATCAATAGATAAATTAGGAAATTTATAATTTTGGTAATTTTGAATTAAAATTTTAATACATGGATATTTTAGGTATTTTATCTCCTCTCTTCTCTCTCCATCCTCCGGCCATCATCCTCCGATGATACCACTATGATACCTAAAAATATTGACTCTGTTAAACAAAAGACACAGTGTGATACCAAAGCATATATAAGATGCATTGTGATACCATTGTGTTACATCTCCGATCGACCACACAAACGACCTCAGTGTGATACCCACACACATATATGATACATTGTGATACCATTGTGGTATGACCGAAGGACGGTGGCCGGAGGACGGGGGACGGAGAGAGAAGAGAGGAAAGATGAGAGTTTTAAAATACCTAAAATGT